TCAGAGATCAAGGAGAGTGCAAACAGAGGCAACCGGTGGCAAGGCGATGGATTTTCGAAAGAGGCAACCGAGCATGCATGTCTCCCTCGCTCACGAGGCCAATTCATTGCTTTATTAGCTAGTTGGAGCTGATTAATACATGTGTTGTAATTAATTAGTTTAATCTGTTTTGTAATATTTTAATTAGCTTAGCATAGCTAGTTAATTGTGTTGTAATTAACGTAAGCATGGTAGGCTGCCATTGCATGCAAGAATGGGGAAGAAAAGAGGAGTATAAAGGTAGGTACAACATGGAAGTCCCAAATGGTGTTGATCCCTTTTTCAATGTTGAAGAGGGGCTCAAAATAAGCCTAATATCAGTTTACAATATGCTCAAAAACAGATTACTCATGGGCCAAAAATAGCATGCAAGATTATGACATATCTCGTGGGAATGATGTAACGGTTATCATTAGGACTCTATTAATTACAAGGCAAGGTGACTATGTTAACATATAAGAATGATTAAACAACGGTGTATACTATTGATTAATAGAGCACGTGAATTAAGTCATTTACCCAAAAGAATTTATGTTCATTCTTGAAGAATGGATTCTGAGTAAATATAAGAGTAGCCATGTGTTTCCATATGAATTTGAAGTTATTTTGCTATGTTGCTTATGAATTGGAAGTTATTCAGAATCTATGATATAAGTGCAAAGTTTAGCATTATTATGTGACTCTCATGAGAATGTGAATTAGTCTCTTATTGTTAAGCGTACGATAATGACATGATACAACAAGAAACGCTCTAATTATAATATGTTCCGTTTGAATTAATGAATGATGTTCAAGTATGTTTCACGCATGTTTCCAGTATGTTACAAGTTCAAGTATGCTCAGGTATGTTTCAAGTATATGTTACAAGTTTGAATATACTACAAGGTCAAACAAGTTTCAAGGGCTTTATGCCAATGTTTCAAGGGCCTCGTGCCACCACATTTCAAGGGCTTATAGCCATCAAGTTTATGTTGCAAGATTGGGCCTAATGCCGTTATGTACTTAGCACAGAATCAGACTATTACATTGACATGTATTATGTTTCAAGTTAAGCATCATTTTATTTATGTATTACTATTCATTGAGCCCGGCTCACTCTCTATTATGTCTGTTTCTGTAGGTCACCAATCAGGTGGTCAGTCCTAGCCAAGACGCCCGCTTTCTTTTGTCAACCTTCGTATGTCCAGGCACTGTATAAGCCATTTATTTTGTCAAGTTGTTAAGATGTTGACTTGCTTATGGGTGTCCCTCTAAGGTTGTTGTATACTTTCATGTTCATTTTTTTGTATACGCCCAATCATGGGGCTGGCATTGTAACTGTGTATGTATATGCTCCGGGTTATAGTTGGAACTTTATCTATCCACTATAATGCATGTGATGAATGAGATCCTGGCATGTAGAAGTAGCTCAATGGAGTTTATTTGTTTCATTGTTTCCATTTTTTTTTCGTGCTTCCGATAAGGCCCCGTATGTTATGTTACCAGGTTACATGTCCGTTTCTGAATAGGTCATGCCCAAACTTTTAGGGGCGGGTTTGGGGCGTGACAAGTGGTATCAGAGCACGAGTTGCTATCTCACACACGAATCCATTGAGCTTTAGGATGTCTAGAAAAGACTTAGGCATCATGCATTAAATCCTTAGTGCATATGAAAGAAAGTGATTGCAACGTTAAATGCAATCTGTTAACGCTAACGATTATCACCCCTGTCCATTGTATATTCTTTGTGTATATTGTGATTGATTGTGATGTAGAACATGGTAAGACATGCAGATGGGGTTAAATCAACAGAATTGCGCAGCGGAAGCGTGGTAAGGGTCCGAGCTGATCGGTAAGACAGTTCCTATGTCAATGATTAAATAAGATGTATGTTATCGATTGTTATTTGCGGATTGGAAGTTGCTTATCATCTGTTTAGATGAAGTGATTAAACCCTAGGTATGGAATAATCCTAAGACTAAAGAAAATGATATAGTCTTCCTTGTCACAACAATGTTTAGATTTGTGATTTTGTGCAATTACTGCATATGAGTATTTTGATAAGATGTGTTTGTGGGCTAACTGAACTTGTGGTGAATACGAATGGCTGTTTGAAGAAGTTATGTATATAATGACCCCTCTTAGAATTGTGTGTAATTTGTTATGGAAGTTTGTAATTTGAAATTTGCATTCTGAAATATGAAATTCGACATTTGAAATCTGACATTTGACTCTATCATCTGTAATCTGTTTTGTTATGTGTAAATTGTAATTTGTAATTAAAATTCCATATAAAGAATGGTTGAACGACATGAAGGACCTTACCCACATTACGTGTTTGCTTGTGTGAGACTTGTAAAAAGGGAGGCAGCTAATGACTACTTTGAGAACAACCCAATTAATTGATAAACTGATAAGTTACCGCAAGAATGAAAATCCTGCCTATGTATATTATGACGAAAGATTAAGAAATCATTTCTATGAAAATTTTTGTGTAAATGTACAAATGTTAGATATTGCAATTTGTTAAATTAATCCCTACTCCGTATTTGAAGGATGTAATGTAAACTGTTCTGCACGACACTGTGAACTTTAAAAAAAAAAAAAAAAAAAAGAGACGAATAGACAGGGAAGTGTTCTCTATTGATGGTGAATTAACGTTATGTACTGGACATTTATCTCCTTCGGTATGTTTATACAATATGATATGCGTGACGTAATATTGAACTAATTTGGCTAAGAAGTCTAACTCTGATATTAGGTGATCAAATCATTTTGTCACTGAATTGTTGACTTCTAGATGTATCTGCATGGGTGTGGTTACTGTCTACTTAAGGAAATCTATGACCCTATGAATGGACCCAGTAGGACCTACGTATGTGAAATAACTGGATACTCTGTTTATGTTAATTGATTGAGCCAGACGACTGGTCTATAATTTCTATATGACTGTTTGCTGACCCATTGTAATTGTGAGCTATGCATACTACTTAGATCCGAGCTTCTAATAGTATGATTAAATGTCTATTATGACACGTCTGTATGAATTTATAAAAGTGTATGATACTAGTTTTGATATGGTCGTAACTATTTGACTTGGAGTATAGTCCTCTTGTGTTACTGAACTTAGAAGTAATGCTATGAGGAATTCACGATGTGTACTGTGATCTCTTTTTCTATTGTATTGACCATATCATTCTAGGCTTAAAGTTGGAATTAGGATATTAGAAATGATTCCTAAGTTATCGAAATCAATTTGGGTTTGCGAGTTTTCGCTTCTAGGCTTAAAGTTGGAATTATTTAGGAAATCAAGAGTCTTCATTTCAATATTCCAAAAGTAAGAGAATTTTAAGAAAAATAAAATTTTTAGAGGCCTCACATTTACTTTTTTTTTTTCTTTTTCTAGATCTACTTTTTCTTTTAGTAGATCTGTAGAGCTTTTTTTTTTTTTTTTTTTGTGTGTGTGTGTGTGTGTTTGTAGTTGTTGATGATTGTGGTTGTTAAAGATTGTTGTTGTTGACGAATAGATAAAACAAACAGATAAGATTATGTGTTAATTTGAACAGATCTGCGTTGAATATATTAAAAAAAAAGGTTTAAATTGTTATTTTCTCTCTTTAGTCTTTCTCAGTAGACAAACAGATCTAAACAGATTGCAGATTGAACAGATAGAAAAAAAGATAGAAAAATAATTTGAATATATAGATAATAAAAAAAAACAAATAAGAAGTCTTTTACCTATGTATGTATGAGATTTTTAACAGATAAAGAGGAAAAAAATTAAACAAATAGAAAAAATTGAATAGATAAATATTTTGAATAGAAAAATAATTTTAAAAGATAGAAAATAATTTAAGCAGATAGACAAAAATTTGAACAGATAGTCAAAAAATTTAAATAGATAGAAAATAATTTGAACAGATAGAGATAAATTTGAACGGATAGTCAAAAAAATTCAACAAATAAAAAAATAACAGATAAATTAAGGGACAAAATTGGAAATAAAAATCATTCAAAACAAATAAAATGATTTTTCACCAAACTGTTTCACAAGGATTAATCTATCACTAATAAAAAATATTCATTGAATTTAATATCTTATACCATCCTTACCTTGACCTTTCGATAAATTTCTCAATAAAAAAATGAATAATACTAAGAATATCAAATTTCTTTTTACCAAATATGGGATCATAAAAGTGTAAACGCCACATTCATATAAAAATTGTCATTCATTTAGTAAAAAATTTGAGATTTATAATATTTTTCATAAAAAATTAGAAACCCGACCACACGCCCGTGCTACCCTGTTGCCATTCGTAGCCACGTCACTGCTTAGCTTGGCTTGTCTCTCTGAATCAGGATCCTTTCCTTACATTCTTCTTACATTTTCTACTTGCAAGTTCATTGAGCTCACTTTTAGGCTCAATTTGGATAATTCGAATTATTCATATTTTAAGATTTGTTCAATATATCATACCTGTAAAAAATTAAATTGATCGAATATCAGAAAGCATGTGTTCGGAAAACTATTTATTAAATTCTTTAAAAAAATAATTTTTAGTTCGAGTTTTTTGAATACATACTTTTTGATAGCTGATCAATTTAATTTTTTATAAATATAATATATTAAACAAATCTTAAAATATGAAATAATTAAGGCTAAGTTTGGGAATACTAAAAAAATGTACTTTTTATCTTTTTGAACTAAAAAATTGAGGTTGAAAATATGGATGTTTGGGTTAACTTTTTGACTTTTTATTGAAAAATGTGTAATAAAAAATTGTAAAAATTAATTTGTAGGAAAAAATTTGAATTGAGAGTTATGCAGCCGTAATTATTGATTTTTGATAAATAGTGTTAACTTTTTAACTTTTTGAATAACTTTTTAACTTTTTTTAAAAGTACGCAAGCCTAAAATTTGGCGTAAAAGTGAGCCAATAGACTTGCAAGTAAGAAATGAAGGAAAAATGTAAGGAGGGGATGCTGATTCTGTCTCTCCCTCCCAGATGACACGGCGTAAATCCTCCTCCTCCTCCTCCTCCTCCTCCTGCTGCTGCTGCTGGATTTTTCTTTCTCTATAATCACAATGGCCTCCTCCAGCCACCCCAGCCTCCCTCACCCCCTTGGCCACCCCCACCACCCTCCTCCTTCCTCATCGGCTGCATCAACCTTTTTTTTTTTTTTTTTTTTTATGAAACAAAACCATCTCCAATCCTTGCTCTTATTAAAATTTCATTAGTAAAAATGTGACTATTGGGAATTTAGTGGAGGATTTGGTCCATCCTTGATTTGGTGAAAAAATTGTAAGTTCCTTGATTTAATACAAAGTTGATGGAGGATTGTAGATGCTGTTACTTGGTTTAGTGGTGGGCTTTGTTAATTTAGGTTATCATGGTCTCTCCTTCGTTGGAAATGTTACTAGACGTATGAGGTGTTAGCGTCAGATGCATGTTTGTAAATCGCAGTATCAGGACATGTTGCGGTGACAGTATCAGGAGTATTGAGCATTATGTATCACAAATCAGGTGGCGCGGTTCTGAATTTTTTAAAATTATCAACACCACGTCTATAACTCAATGATATGCTTCGCTCTCTCTTTCTCTTTAATTTGTTTTTTAATTTTTTTTTAAATTTTAATCGATATATTGATATATAGACGCAATTTTTTACTCATTGCAAAGTATTAAATAACTTACAAAGTCTAATTAATTAATAAGCTTATAAATTGTAATTATACTATTTTTATATTTTTATATTATTAAATATTTTACTCTTAAATATAAGTATTATAAAATTTGTATACTATAAGTTTATTATTGACGCTGTCATTAACCAAGAATTCAAACCTTTGCAATGACATTTAGAGCCATGTACCATGTTTCTTTTGAACAACTAGAGATCCTGTGGACCTACAGAGCATGGTAAGCTTGCTATGTGTCAGCTAATTATTGGAGCAATCTAATTCATCTTATTGAACCGCAAGTGAACTGGACTGGTTCATTAAGAATCATTAAAAGAATCCAGTTTAGGTATGAACCTGTTGTTTTGCGATCGATTTTTCAACCTCACCTGGTATATCAGGGCAAATCAGTATTGGAGACCCCAAAAGTCAGTTCGAACTAGCCGGTTCGTATCGAACTTATATAAACCATGGTTGGATGGCATCCAATATCTCTCGTTGGGCAAGCATGTCTAGTAATTGAATATTACTACATGCTTTACATACATTTGTATTCCTTTGTTACGTGGTTGCAGTGAAATGAGTTAAGTGCCCTTGCTGATACTCCATTCTACGTAAGAAGAACCATCTTATCCTATGAAATGACAGAACATGAAAAACATGGACATCTAGTTATGCTCTATTTTGGTAATGAATTGTAAGTCTAGACGCTTTGACCTAAAATTTAGTCCATTTTAAGTGGATTTTCAATTTTACGCGGATGCTGATTGTATGCCATAACATGTGGTTGGTAGAATATCAATTTAAAATTTTCAGACTCGACCCCTTAATGGAGTAAATATGGAAACAAGGTTAGGTTTGGGAGGAGGAACCTATTTGCCAACTCTGCCTTAGGAGGAAATAAATTCCCCAAACCTTTTACAAAACTGAAAAGTGGCAGGGTGGGTAAGACAGACAAGATTTAATGGGTGGGAGCAGGCTACCCTTAGGAACCCAATAATTCTTCAAAAGTTTAGACTAGAACTGTGTCATGGCAAAATTTGATTGGTTGTATGTGTGCTCATAGCAATCAGCCAAAGCTGTTAGTGGATTTTTTAAAAACTTTCCCACTGAGCCAAATGCCATTGAATGCTTCACCACTTGCTCCTATTGAATGAATGAGCAGCACCTTTTGAAGACTTGTGAGACACATAATATAACACTTGCAGCTGATGTAGGGCACTTTGTGAGAAAAAGGGAGTGGGAGTGTGTAACTAATTCGCTTCTCCTAGCATATTGGAGCAGGGTAGGTTTGGTCAAAGTATGTCCTGAATCCATCATGGGTTTTCCTTATTTCTTCCAAACCCGCCTCGCTTCTCCTATTTGGTGGGTGAGGTGCAGATTTAGGATATTGGGTTATTTAGTCATCCCTATAATGGGGTTACCAATTGACCTCTATATCAATATATTGCGAGGATGGCCTTGTCAACTTTTAGGGTGTAATACATATTATGTAGTGTCTAGAATGCATGTTTGGTTGACATGGGAAGTCTGAAATTCTGATGAAGTTTGTGAAAAACAGATTTTGATTGCCAATAAAATACTAAGCCTGCAAGTCAACCCAGTGAGGTCAATTGGAGACCATTCATTCAATAAACCATGGGGTGGAACCCCAATCTTGGACATAATATATGTTGAGGTCCAAAGTCATCCAATCTTGGACATAACATATGCCAAAGTCCAAAGACATCCTTATCATTAATTTCTCAGAATACTTGCATAAAATGATATATCAGTCATGATGCCATACAAGAAACCATTTAAGCTAATCATGTAAGATTTCTGAAGGTTTTTATGTATATTCAATTGTATCAATTTACAAAGTGTTCATCAGTTTATATAGCCCTAAATTTATGACTGAAAAAGGAAATACTAACTAATTCATATTTACACAATTATGCCATATATACACAACATGCCATATATACAATATATTCTCACACCTCCACTCAAACTCAAGGTGTTTTAGCAGAAAACACTTAGAGTTTGTTAAGAAGAATCTGAAACCGAGCGGTAGTGTGAGTCTTGGTGAAAAAGTCCACAAGTTGCAAGGCCGACGAGACGAAAGGAAGCAGGATAGAGTCAGACTGCAGATGTTATCGGACAAAGTGACAATCAATCTCAATGTGTTTCGTCTGTTCATGGAAGATAGTATTGTGGGCAATCTGAATAGCACTGTGGTTGTTACAATAGAGAGAGGTTGGAGAAGACTGAGGTACACCCAAATCAGAGAGAAGACAACGAAGCCAGACAACTTCAGCAGTAGCATGAGCCATAGTACGATACTCAGTTTTGGCAGTAGAGCGAGCAACAACAGTTTGTTTCTTGCTTTTTCAAGAGATCAATGAATCGCCAAGAAACATACAGAAACAAGACGTGGATTTGCGGTTAGTAACATCACTGGCCCAATTAGAATTAACATAGGCTACCAAATCTAGATAGGAAGTAGAGAACAATAGTAAACCCTGAAATATAGTATCTCGAAGATAGCGAAGAATTCGAACCAAGACAGCTCAATGTGTGGAGCGAGGAACAGAGACAAACTGGCTAATCACATGAACAACATAGGTAAGATCAGGACGAGTAACCGTAAGATAGATTAAGCAACCCACGAGCTCTCAATATAGAGTAGGATCATTCAGAAGAACACCATCAGTAGTGTTGAGCTTTACATTAAGCTCAATGGGGGTATCAAAAATCTTAGTGTCAGTAAGACCGGCACGATGAATAACCTCATTCGCATACTTAGCCTGAGAGAGAAAGTAGCCCTTAAGAGAAGAAGCTACCTAAATACCAAAAAAATACTACAATGGGCCTAGATCTTTCATTTCAAAGGTGCGAAAAAGATGCTACTTGACCTCAGATATTGCAGAAGAGTCAGAACCAGTGATGATCATATCATCTACATACAGTAATAACATAACAAATCCAACAGAGGTGTGGAGAAGAAATAAAGTAGAGTCTTGGGCACAAGGATGAAACCCAAGCTTAATAATAGCAATCTGAAAGCGATCATACCAAGTACGAGGAGATTGCTTCAGACCATACAGAGCACGCTGAAGGCGACAAACCTGTCCAGAGGAATGGTGAAGGCTAGGGGGAGGATGCATGTAAACCTCCTTAGCGAGATGGTCATTAAGAAAAGCATTCTTAACATCCATCTGATAAAGAAGTCAAGAACGAACAGCAGTAACAGAGATCAAAGTACGGATAGTAGTCATCTTGGCAATAGGAGCAAAGGTCTCCTCATAATCAATACCATACTCTTGTGAGAAACATTTGGCAACCAGACGAGTTTTGTAGCGCTCAAGAGAACTATCAGAATGAGTCTTGACTTTGTAGACCCATTTGCAACCAACTATATTCTTACTAGCAGGCAAATGAACCAACTCCCAAGTATTAGTTTTCTATAAAGCAGACAACTCATCCTCCATAGCTTGAACCCAATGAGGATCCTAACAGGTCTCCTTGTAAGACTGAGGTTCTGAAAAAGAGTGAATAATAGACAAAAAAGTACGATAAAAAACAGAAAAACATGTATTGGACTAACCCAATCTATTTGGAGGATGACGCGCTCGAGTAGGATATCGTGTGCAATAGGATCAGAGTCGTCAGAAACAAGAGGATCAGCAGCAGGGGTAGAGACAACCGGTGGAGGAGGAGCCATGCGATGAGAATAAACTAACAACAGTGGAGGAGAATAAATCGAAGAAGGAGTAGCAGCCAGAGGTGAAGCAGGAAGAGAAAATGGAACAAGCTCAGGAGGAACTATGGAGATGTACTCATCAGACGAGACCTTAGAAGAAAACGGATCAATATGAACCAAATTCTCTTTGAAAACTGGGGCGGTAAGAGGAGGAAGCTGAAAGTAAGGTAGATGTTCGAGAAAAGAAACATAACGGAAGACATAAAGACGGTGGGAAACAGAGTCGTAACACCGATAGCCTTTCTGAGTAGGACTATAACCCAAAAAGACACAGCGGACAGGCCGGGCACTAAGTTTGGTCTTATCTTTGTGGGGAAGAAGGACAAAATAAGCAGACCCAAACACACGAAGGAGAGAGTAATTAGGAACTTAGAAAAACAAAGCCTCATAAGGAGAACGACCATAAAGAAGGGGAGTAGGCATGCGGTTGAGAAAAAAAGCAGCAGTAATAACTACCTTCCCCCAGCATAGAGCCGGAACTAAGATAGAGAGAAGAAGAGACCTAGCTGTCTCAAGGAGATGACGGTGTTTACGCTCGGCTCAACCATTTTGGGCAGGTGTATCTGTATAGGAAGTTTGGTAAATGGTACCCAAATTGGCCAAATACTCACAGAACTCATTTTTAAAATATTCTCCACCTAAGTCAGACCGTAACACTTTAATTGTAGACCCAAATTGAGTAGTAATCATAGACTGAAAGGTACGGTATATCTGATAGAAATTGGACTTATGAGTAATAAGATAAA